CAAGTTATGGGATGTAAAGAAACCTTACTAAAATGCTTCTCGTCCCTCTTGTACTGATGATTGGATGTTTGAACCAGTTAATTCATGTTTTTTTTTCCTTGTAGTAATTCACACCCTTTGTAATGGCGTTTCACTGGTTGATACATAGTTCTGATTCCCCTATAACTATTAGAAAATATTATTAAACCATTTTTAATTTCGCATTTTCTCGTTTGTACCAGTTTCCAGGCATAGAACGCTCATGAACTTATGTGATAAAGTTCCCGTGGTCGACAAGAATGCCTTCGTGGCACCCAGTGCATCCATTGTTGGAGATGTCTATGTTGGTCCCAGTTCTTCTATTTGGTATGGATGTGTTCTCAGAGGTATGTTTTTTTGTTTCATCAAGAGTGGGTGCTCATTCTGGTTTTCAATTTATTGCTGTTGAAGCTTTCATTATTGTCTTACATCAATACCCCATTTCCGGTATTGTATCATGTGGTGCGATCAGTGTAGTCTTCTGGTTCCAAATTGATTTCTAACTCTTGAAAAAGTTGATGAAGAAAATTAAAAGGGAAAGAGCAGAAAGACGTAGTTTATCATTGCTATTTGTTACAAAGTTCAACTTATAACTGAATAAATAGTATGCTATTATGAAAATGTTCCAAAAAATGAAGAGTCCGTGAACAATTCGTACTTATGATCTTGAGTAGAGGTTGATAGAGAAATTTTAGATGCAGCACTTTGTTCCATATCTTTTCATTTTGGTTCCTTTCCACATCTCTTATGGTTAAACTTTGGGTTATAATCAGCCTGCCTGTTCACTTTATTAATTGTTTGCACTCTTTTGTAATTTCGTGAACCCACTATACCTTTGGTTGTTAGTCTTGTTAGCCCATTCCATTTCTTGCCTCAAGTGTCTTAAAATTTCTTAAGCCCTTGCATTTAAGGGAAGTTCTTGAATTTTATTTCTTCCAAAGGTTTAAACTTCCATTTTTCCCATTGTTTTTGGCTTTTCAACATGTTATGGTTACAATAAGACCTATCCAACTCAATTCACCCTAAGATATTACTATTGTTGAATCCTGGGATTTTGTAGATCAGAGACTGGTAAGGTTGGTTCATGGTTGTCTCTTTTCATTTGAAGTTTCTGGTATGCTGATTTTTTGTTCTGTGATGATTTTGGTCATAATGCTAGGTATTTGTGACCTTTTGAGTTCAGAGTTAGAATAACATCTGCTGTAAGCAATCTTGAGCTCAAAGCATTATAGGTTGGGTGTGTGACAAATGGAACTTAGTGAGCTAAGTCAATATGACCCTGAAAATCTGTCATTATCATTTTAACTTTTTATTTTTTGTGAGATTGTTTCAAGTGCTGCCTTCTTTATATGTTAATTACGGAAGTTTATTTGCTGTTTGATATGAACTTTGCCCGCCTCCCTGGAATTTTGTTTCCATTTTCTAGTTTTCAAATTCCTAGTGGAGCTTAAAATAGTCATCTGTGAAACCATTGTTTCTGATATTACTTGTTCACCATGTACCCTTTGCAAATGATTTGTAGGGCTAAGCATTTGAAGGAAGCAAATTAAATTCAAACAAAAGAAAGAAAAAGATTGCCACGTTTCTTTTCTTTTATTTTCTTGGTTCGGAGAAAAATTTATGGTGAAAGATTAAACAGGGATATAAATGTGTATTATCTTTACAGAGATCCGTGTAAAAAATATACCTAGAAAGCGTCACCAAGACACAGTTTGCTTGTTTCCATGTTATGCCTTCAGGTTTCCTCATGGTTTGTTGTTCTCTCAGTTTCATTATGATTCAATCTTTATTTTTATTTTTTCTTACATTTTTACAGGCGATGCAAACAGCATCAGTATTGGAACCAAAACCAACATTCAAGACAATTCTCTTGTTCATGTAGCCAAATCTAACCTAGGTGGGAAAGTCTTGCCTATCCTTATTGGAGACAATGTCACTGTAGGTTAGTATCGTAACCCTTATCTTTATTAGACATGGTTGGATTAGTCGTGATTGGAGTTTTCTTGATCCTGAGGGTTAATTTACACATTGAATGGATTAGGTCATAGTGCTATTTTGCATGGATGTACTGTGGAGGATGAGGCATTTGTTGGTATGGGTGCAACATTGCTTGATGGTGTTGTAGTAGAGAAACATGCAATGGTTGCTGCTGGAGCTCTTGTGAGACAGAACACAAGAATACCCAGTGGAGAGGTTAGTGGCATTTTTGGCTCCCTGTTGTTGACAGTCAAAATATGGCAATTTGCTAAGTTTTACGCTTACTTACTGAAGTTACTCCTGTGGTTTAGCTAACTACAATAGTTTCAAAGTACCTTTTCAATTTACTTTTCCCCTTTGGTTGTTGAATAATCATTGACGTTTGTTCCTATTTTTTCAAAATGTACGAGAATGGTATTTTAAGGGATGTATGTATTTTGGAAGGCAACCAGAGGTTTATTAATCAGGCTAAAGCCTGAAGGGCAGTTTTTGTAGTTATCTCTAAATGAGTAAGTGTTATTAGTTTCATGAAATGTGTTCATTGCAGTCATCAGTTTATTAATTATCATATAGCTCTCGATGTATTTTGGTAGCTAAATGCAAATACCCTAAGGAAAAACGATGCAATTGTTCATCTACAGACTTCAGGGTATTTTCATGGTTGTTTTGAATCAGAAGCTGAAGGATTATTATTATTATTATTATTATTATTATTATTATTATTGTTATCGTTATTTCTATAACAGCCATTAATTTATTTCCGCGGAATGAGATCTTCAATACTGAGGGCTTGCCAAGACATAGTTTGTAGTATTATTTCACCTGATTTTAATTTTTTAAGAACTTGGAAAAGACCTATTTATGATAGCAAGTGAGTGATATTGCTTTAATCCATGGATTTTTTGGTTCTTAGGTGTGGGGAGGAAATCCGGCCAAGTTTTTGAGGAAGCTCACGGATGACGAAATTGCCTTCATCTCACAATCTGCGACCAATTACGCCAGCCTGGCCCAAGCTCACGCTTCTGAAAATGCAAAGGAATTCGACAAGGTGGAATTCGAAAAGGTACTCCGAAAGAAGTTTTCTGGGCAGGATGAAGCATATGGTTCACTGTTGGGGGCTGTTCGCGAGACTCAGCCAGAACTCATTAACGATAAAGCTGCATAGGCTTCATTATCCGCAACTTAAATTTCGAAATATTTTGTTGTTTGTTCGAAAATCCGTGAGTATGGATTCCAATAAATTATGGGGCCAGGCCGTGAAGTTTCAACGAATCCTGGTACGCTTTTGGTTTCATGCACGGCTTGTCTTGTTTGGTTAAGAACCCCTTGGACTTTTTCTTATTTGATTTCATGAGATTCTGCTGCTTCATTTTGATGTTCATTTGCTTATTTGCTTTCACCTGAAAGCTGAGGGTTTATGAAAAATAATTCGGATTGGATCAAATCAATCAGCATAGAGGTTCGGGAGTCAATTCGTATGTTCTACGATCTCCTGGACTTTCCGAGTGTAAAAGGTGACTCTTAGTTATGAAGGAAGACTAGAAGCAAAACTGGCAACTAGGCTATCATTCATTCTTGCTTCGATGGTTTGATTGTCACTTCATAAAATCTTCTCCTATTAATGCTATAATCAACAACATTAGGATTAGGGAAGTATTTTACCTACATAGAAACATAATCTAACATCACTGTAAAGAATGTGTTGGTTTGTGTCAGAACCATGTAGTACTCAATTAATGTCAAAAAATGTTTTGAGGAATTACTTCTTTAACAGAGTCACTTAACTGATGTTAGCTAGGATTTTTGCTCGTTCAACAGCCTGGATTTGTAGTTTTTTTTCTGAACAGCTAGTTTTAAGGGCAAATTCAGCTATCCAAGAGCTCATTAAAGAATATTTACCACAGCATAAAGGAGCTAATTGAAGGTTTATGGATAAAGATGCCCTTGGCACCAAGGGTTGATTACACATTGAACATGTTGAGAAATTATAAATGTGCTAATCCATTTCAATGCCATCGAATTTGTGTTCCCTTTTGGCAGTTCTATCAGGTGTTTTACCTTCTCCATGGTCCCTACACATTTCAAAAACCACAATCTGTCATCCAAAATACACATTTGATTTCTCACTAGAAGGAAAAAAAAAAAAAAAGTCAGGAAGAGTTTTTAGCATGGTGTAATTTCAGTTGAATTGGATCCAAAGTTGACGGGTTAGTGTGAGCTTATGCATGAGCTTATGCATGCTTGGATATAAAAAGTTTTTGTTTTGATTGAATTTTTGGTTTGGGTTGGTTAAATTTAAAAAAATTTGGATGGTTAGTTGTTAGTGGTTATATTAAAATAATATTTAAAATAAAATGATTAAAATTAAATTGATGTAAAAGTAGGAAAGAGAAGATGTGATGTGATGGTTAATTAAAATTATGTGAGTTGATGAATAGTGAATTAAGGAAGATTGATGTTGTGTGTAAGAATGATTGATTGATATTATTTAAGTATATTAATAATATTGATGATAGTGGAGTTGAGTTACAGTAGAGTTAAAAAAAGTGGTAGAGTTAAAAATTATTGAATTTTTTGGGTTGAATTTGTATCCGAGCATGCTAGCAATTTCATTTGAAAATCCATTGCTATACAGTACAGTTGTTGATTTTATTCTACTTTAAAGGACACATGGAGTTGTGCAACTTTATTAGTAGATGCTTAGTGTTGGAATTGTATCTAGACATGGCCAACTAGCGGCTCGGTTCACAACCCGGCCCGGCAGGTTGCCAGGCCTCAAAACTTGGGCTCGAAATTGGCCTGGCTATATGTGGGGCTGGTTCACTGAATGGCCTAAACCGACGGTTCATTGAACTGCCAATTTTTTTAATAAAAAAATAAAAAACAATGTAAAAAAATCCGGATCCGTCTTTTNGGGTTAAAAAAAAAAAAAAAGACCCAAAACTGGCTCGATATTACCACAGGTTCGGTTCTAGGGCCCGTACATACGGGCTTGTTCTGGGCTGGGCCCAAGCCGATTCCGGGTCGCCAACCCTGGTCACATCTAATTGTATCGTTGTTCTTGTGATGGTTAAAATTGATTTTTTTTTTTTCTTTCAAAATTCAAACTTGCATTGCAAATAATGATATAAAGCTAGTTAAAATCCTATGTGGGGATGTAACTAAAATCCGGGGGAAAAAAGTGGGCTATTTTAAAACATCACGAATGGTGTTCTTAGGTGAGTCGAACAATCTAAAAAGGTTTACTGATGTTCGTGAACTTGAAAAGCCTATTCCCACGGACGGTGGAGATTCTCGCATTTTTTGAAAGGTGGTTATGGTATTGCTCTTTGCACTAAGAGGTCAATGAAGAAAACCTCAGCTTGCAAGTTTTGTTTTCATATGCTTAGATTATGGTTTGTAAAAGTAGTTGATAGCTGTGATTTTCGAGGTTATAGTAATTACTTATAGATAAAAAGTTAATTTATACTTTCTCCTATTTTTAATAAGTGTCGTTTTAAGAAGTTGCACAGTAATTAAGAATTTTTTTTTTGCCAATAATAACCCTCATTAATGAGAATAGAGATGAATGTTTTGAGAAAATATAAAAAATGAATATGAAAAGACGTAGTATATTTATTAGCTAGATGATGGTAATAATGGAAAAATATGTACAAAAGATCCAAAAAGATCATTTATTTAGTTAATTGTTGGTAAAACCAAAATGACATTTAAAAAAAATAGGAGGTAGTTGTAACAACAAATTTTACTTCGAAGTCCCACTGGACGTGCCAAATTTATAACAAATTTTATGAAAAACATAAAACTTTGTACAACTTGAATATATTTCAATCAAACGATATTGCAGGTACAATCTATATATGTATCATCTGATTCTTTTCTTCATGGATTTGTATTTGGATCTTTGAGGATTTGACGGTTGGATCTTCTTCAGGCTTGAGGTTGATTTGTCTAACGTTACTTGGGGGGTCGAATGACTTGATCCCAAATTAAGCATTAGGACTTGATTTGATTGAAGACAACTTCTTAGCTATGTTGCTTGAACTTCTCGATGAACTCGGCTTGAATGTTGTGGATCTTCAAGAACACCTTTGGATCTTTCAAGAGAATTATTGAGAGCTCTTTGAATTGAGACTTTTGATTTATGAGGTGTTGGATTTTTTTTTAGGTGTCATTTGTGGCATTGAGAAGAACCCTATTTATAGGTGTAGGAGAGAGGGTTTTGGAAGAGAAGACATCAATTTGATTGGTCCTTGATTTGACATAATCTCTTTTCTTATCCTAAGATTTGATATAATCTCTTTCTTAATCTTAAGATTTGACTTGGTGGGCAAGAAATAATAATATTATTAATTATATATCTTATTTATCATGAATTTATGTCTAAAAAATAAATAAGGACATTAATTAATAAAATATTAAAATTTCGATGTCTACAGTTGTATAATATAAGTGTTTGGTAGCTGAAATAAAAATTTCAACGAACTTATTTGAAAAGCTATCCAAAGAAGCTTATGAGATAAACTCGAGTTTTTTAAAAAAACTCAGGAAACTTATAAGCTAATCAAATAAGCTATGGCCTTGTTTGGTAATCAGCGGTAGCTGATAGCTGTTAGCTGATTGCATTTGCTGTTTTGACCAGCGGATTGCGTTAGCTGGTTTGACTATATGATTGTGTTAGCGGTTTGTAAAAGAGTGTTTGGTAGGATTAGCTATTTTTAATTAGCTGTTAACATGCAAAATTACTTATAAGGACATCAACATAATTTATCGTTATCATTTATGTTGAACTTATAATTATATAGGAAATAAAAATAATTTATATTTTAAATATTTATTAAATTGATTTAAAATATAATATAATATAAATAATAATAAAACAAAAATATTTCTTGATTGAGTAAATAAGTTCACGTCCTATAAACAAAACTAATAACAAGTCATCACTATTTAAAAAAATAAATGTGAGCCAATTTCGATATCTCTCATAACAATTGAAAAAAAAATATAAAAAAAAAAAATCTAATTAACTAAAATTTACATTAACAATTCCTTAAAGTTTCCATGTACATCTAAGTAACCAAAATTATATATATTTAAAATTTTAGAAAAAAAGGTTGGTAAAATTATTTGTTAAGTATTATACTAGAATTAGTTGGAATTACATTTTTATATTTGAATATTTTTCTTAACATTAGTTATAATTTTAAAAAACGAAATATTATTTCTATTTTTAAAATATAAAAAACGTGATATATATTTTATTGCTATAGGTTTGAATAAAAAGTTAAGAGCAGTGCACTATTTTAATCCAAGACGATTTTGACTTACGTCCCATGTGGTATGAATATAATAATAAAAGGGCAATTAAGACTTTTAATTCTTTTTTCTCAAACCGCTGAATCAAAACGCTAGGAAAAGCAGCGTTTTCCATTTTAGCGGATTGGGCCAAAAAAGCTAATTGAAAAAGTTGTTTACTAAACATATTTTTCAGCTGATTGTAAAAAGTCAAACAGCTAAAAAGTTCAAAAAGCTCTTTTAAGGCCAAAAAGCTATTAAACAAACACAGCCTATGGCCTTGTTTGGCGATCAGCGGATAGCGAATAGCTGATAGCGGATTGTATCAGCGGATAGCGGATAGCAGATTATATTAACTGGTTTGACCAGTGGATTGCATTAGCGGTTTTTAAATAAGTGTTTGGTAAATAACTGAAAACTTATAGCTGTTTGACATTGCAAAATGACCAATAAGGACATTTTATTATTTAAGATGTATATTCTTTTAATAATAATATATTAGAACATTTAATATTTTTGAGTTGGTAATTTATAAATATATATATATATATATATATATATATAAATTTAAATTTACTAACACTTGATGAAAAAGTTATGAATTTTATATTTTTCTAGATAAATTAATCATATGGATGACATATTATTATCTATTAGCTCCATAAATCAATGTAGATTGTAAAATAAATAAGACAAGTTAAAAAGTTCCAAGTAAAACCTTCCAATTGTGAATCCTCTATCCCAAAAAGCTGCTCTAATGAACTTTTTCTAAATTAGAGTTTTGAGCCTAAAAAGTTTATTAAATAAGTTATTTACCAAACAAGCTCAATAGCAGATATGACGGGTCAAGCCTCTCAATTAAGTCCAATCCGCTAATTTATCTTCAATCCGTTATCTACCAAACGGGGCCATATATCTAGTTTATTTGAGTACAAAACATAGCTTCCAATCACCCCTCTCGAATATCACATATCTTTAGTTTTCAAACCAAGAAATTATGTTCTCTCTTATGGATAAACTTTATTTCGACTTAACTATATGTCTCCCTCTATATATATATATATTTATACATATTTTGTTTTTTCAAAAATAGGCCCCATCTAACATGTGACTAGCGTTTTTTTAATAATTTTTTAAAATATTTCTTCAGAAAAAGCAT